TCTTGGCGTGCCCAGTTCAACCTCTCCCGTCCTTTCTGCTGTATTTTTTCCAGCTTGGCAATAGTGGCAGATACACTTCTGCCCTGAGAGACTGGAGCCAGGCAATCAGCAGCCTGGTGACCCTGCTGGCCACACTGTAGCACTTGATGGAAACTCCAGTGGGTGTCCAGAGCACGCTGGTTACAGGAGCGGTCGATGGTTGTTGCCCAAATAGTTATTTTTCCTGGCTTTGGTTCAGTGGTGCTGGATTTTCTGCAGTGGGCCAACTCGATATCCAGGGTCATGGCCACGCGATACCATTCACAGAGTTGATCAGGAAACCCTGGTAGGTGCATGCTTGGAACAAATCCTGGTCCAGTCCCTCTTTGAAGTGGTGAACCAGCAATCGTTTTGGCCACTGTCTGATTCTACAATTTTGTAGAATTGTAGAAAATTCTGCAATTTTCCGGAATTCCCGGATGTATTCTTTAGCTGGGTGACCTCTCTATCTCAGGCTGTGGATTTCTATCTCAGCTTGCAGGGCCTGGGATTCATCTTCAAATCTGGCTCTCAGCTGGCCACTGAACAGGTTTATGTCCCACCGTTTCAACGCTTACTCATTGTGTAGGCTAGTCACCCACTCAGCTGCTTCCCCCTCTATGTTTGCCGCTATTACATTCACCATCATGGAATCATCGGGGTATGCGGGTATCTGGTTCAGGAAAAAAGGCAACTTCTCTGGATCTCCATTAAATGTGGGTTTGATGGGAAGTGGGTCCAAAGGCTGCTGCCCCTAGTATGCAGGACGCAAGGCAGATCATTTATACTGGGACTGAGCCGGTTGAACTTCTCCCTCAATCTTTTGACAGAATGGCTATGGATTGCTGTCAGTACTTCCATTCTCTAGAGCATACATGTCAAACTCGCGATGTCACATGACGTCACGTGACATATCGGAACTGTTTTGCCATTGCCGGCAATGGAATGGGTGCAGCTTCCGTGTGACACGGCCGGCCTATGGGCCGGCAGTTTGACACCCCTGTTGACACCCCTGTCTAGACTCATCCCATCCTGCTGGTCTCTTTGCCTTCCTCAACACAGGTGACAGAAGGCTGTGGGATGAAATCAGTGGGAGTTCAGCTGCAGTGGCTTTAGAAGTACTCCTGCACTGGGGGGGTTGCCTCTGCCCAACCGAGATCCCCAAGGGTCAGAGATTTGATTTAATGCCAAGGTTCCGACGAATGAGACCAAATAAATCAGAACTCTGAGGCAAGAAAGTTCCTCAAAGAACATTTTTATTGGATGCACAGCATTGCCACAGTCAAAAGTGAAACCATATCTAAACTTTCCTCATAGAATCAAAGTAATACAATGTAACAATTCCCACCCCTCTACTAATACTATCCAATAGAATGACTTGGCGGGCTTTCTGACTAAACGATCCAAAAATACCTTTCCCCCCTCCCTTTCTTGTGGCAACCTAGAATGACAAAAATGGCTGTAGCCAGATTCATTGTAGAGCTGACACCAAGTTCATATTGTTCCAAAGAAAACAACAGATATAAATGTCTTTGAAGTAATAATGAAATAATTTTTCCTCTTAAGAATTTAAAGCAATTCAGACATAAAAGAAACTATATTGTCAACGTAGATAAAAGTGTCCTTTCCCCCCCTAAACACTTACCTAATTCCTAAAAATTAAAAATCATTTTTCAACCCAGAGTTCTGGGATATTGGTAAGAATTTTAAAGGCTGCAGAAGTTACCACTGATTAAAACAAAACTTGTGTCCAATTGCAATACATTTTCCTTCTCTTTACTTTGCTTTCAAAATTTCTATTACATTGGATTCAAAACACAGTACCCAAGATGCTGAGGGCCTTGTAGAAGAAATGCAGCAATTAGCAAAACATGAATTAACCCAGCAAATTGGAAGAAAACACTAGAAAGAAACTTAAATCACTCCATTTTGCCTCTCTTTGGTATAAAAGGAAAGGAAGAGAAAATGCTGTCAAGTTTTCAAGATTCTGTTATGATGGTCTACATTAACAAAGTAGACTTCCAGTATTTCTTAGGATCTCTGTTTTCTGACCTGTCTACCTTGAAGGGGTAGAACATACTATCAAAGAAAACAAGAGGCAGCAGATATTCAAAATCCAATTAGAAATGTACAAAAAAGAAAAAAGAAAAAGCAAGGTTGTTGCATATTTAAGTAACAAAATGGATTAGTACATAATTGGAGAAAATATTCAGTTGAGCTTCTGACACATAACATGCAACAGACTAGATTTATTGCTCGCCAAGATGGCATTTGAGATTCTTAAAAATGGAACTAAAATGGAAAATATGTAAATTTTGATACCAAGTCTCTATTCACCATAATCTGACTACCAGACTTGGGGGCATGGCAGGGCATATGTTGAAAGGGGCGTTGTCTTACCTGAACGCCTTTTCTCAGCAAAGAGGAATGTAGACTCCACGTGTGGGTGTTAATTGTCCTCTAGCCCAATCAGACCAAACAATCAAAGTCGCCACGCCCCTTCAGGGTCTGAGCATGCCCAGTTTCGAAAAAGGGCGAAGCCAGTGATTGTTCTGTACGACGTGATGGCTCCTGAGGAATT